AATGGCGTATTACGTGTGCCAATCTGAGTTATGGAAGTGAGGGAATTGCCCGTCCCAAGATCGAGAAGATTTTAAAGTGAACGAGTAAAATACAAGGGTAACGTGGAAATTATGTTAACTCACGAATCATGGATCGTAGGGTAAGTCTCGCAAAAAGGGTGGCCCGTGACACATCTTTGGTCGAGTTGGGAATTATGTTTTAAAAGTTGTCATCAGAATAAATGTTACAGTTCAGTAATTTTATAATAGAATCTTTAGTAACCAAATAATAAATTCCCACCCCTAAATGCAAAATCATCACAGAGTGATACTTTCCAAGTCAAAGGCCCATTTACCATATTTTCACCAATTTAGTTAGCACTCTCCATCGTATCATCTTCTTCTTGTTTCTTCGTTATTCAGATTTGCCAGGGAGAAACACCGGAGTATTCTCCAAATATTCTATATCAATTAAATTGGGAGTATCTTCGTCATACAATCGGGTATTAATAAGATTTACCATGTCCTGTAAGGTAACTATTGTGGCCCATTGTGAAGGGAGAGATCTTTGTGTTTACCACCGGGTTTTGACTTTCTAGCAAGTCAAGGCCGAGCATTGAGTACCGTCTTAAGTGTTACATTCGCCTTCTATCCTCGAGTGAAAATGGGTGAATCACGACAGATTTCATAATTGGCTTACCCTTACGACGCTGTATGGGTCAGTATGGATCGTCTTACAAAATATGCACTTTTTTTAACCTGTTCGACGGTGATGTCGCTTCAGAAGTTAGCTGAATTGTGTTTTCGCGAGATTGTTCGATTGCATGGAGTGCTGGTATCTATTATCTCCGACAGGGTTCCCTGTTTCATCTCAAAGTTTAGGAAGGGACTTCAACAAACTTTACGTACCAAGCTAAATGTGAGCGCAATCTTCCACCCTCATGGAGGAAGTTTGTCTTGTAGCATGTCAGTTGGGGCTACCCCCTGAACTGAACAAGATTCACAATGTGTTTCATGTCTCTATGTTGCGATGTTACCGATCGGATCTGACCCATCGGTTACCCGAGGAACAATCACTTTGGACGATAACTTGACTTATGAGGAGGAGTCTATGAGGGTTCAGTATCCACACCTTTTTAGCGATAATGATTCAGGTAATTTCGAGGACGAAATTCTTTTAAGGGGGTGAGAAATGTAACGCCTCGAAACCCGGCTTAGTATTTTTAATTAATTTATATAATTAATTAATTACTGAGTCGATCAATACCAAGATTATTTTCTAATTTTCATATTTAATATGAGAGTTGACCTGCGTTGTAGGGCTCGCTGTTCTGAACCCGACCGCGTAAACGGATTGAGAATCGGAGTTACTGGGCCTAAGATACGAGTGACGAATAAGGTAATTGGGCTCAAACCTATCTTAATTGGTTAAGAAGTGTAAACTGGATCCTAAAAGAACCTACTCCGTATTTAATTTTATATTTATTAGAAGGGGGGTTACGTTGACGACCATCTCTCTAGCTCTGTTTCCGTTTTCGCCCGGTTACCCTGCCCAGGCGTTGCTCGACCGGCGACGTCTTCCAGCGACGCCACAGCAACCGGCGAACTCCATCCCAGGGCAACCAGCGCCGGCGACCGCCCCCTCCTTCCCCAGTCGCGCGGTAGATTTGGCCGCAACAGGGAGTGCATCGGCGAGCTTCTCTCTTCCGATTTGGTTTTTGATTCTTCAATTTCAAGGTGATTTGTGGTTTCTATACCTTCTGTTAGCGTTAATTCGTAGATTAAAACTTCCTTAGCGTATAATCTTTCGATTTGAATGACAATTGTGAATGTTGTGTTGAAATTATGAAATTTGTGTTGGGGGGCTGTTTTCCGTCATCTCCTCCGGCGACCGCCAGCAACGGCGGCGGCGAGGTGGCCGGAATAGGGCAGCATCTAGATTTGGACAAATTGGATCCAATTGGAACTAATTGGGTCCAATTGGGTCCAAACGGGTTCAATCGGGTTCGATTGGGCTATTTAGGTTCAATTGGGTGCAATTGGATGTGATTGGACTATTTTGGGTTAATTGATGTACTGTTCGGGTTGCTGTGAACCACCCAACGGGGCTGTTTGGTCTGGCTTCGGGTTTGGGCAGCCGGGGCGACTACCGGAGGGGGTGTTGGGGTTGTTCCAGCAACGATGGGGACTGCTCCGGCGGGGGCAGCGGGCCCGAGGATTGATTCCTTAGTCTCGATTCCGCGCAGGTAAGTTAGGTTAATTGTAATTCGGTTTGTTGATTATGCATGACGGTAATCGTGGGTCTTCGACCCGGATAGGCCGCTACGTGATTTGTTGTGAATTGTGAACTGAGATTTAAATTAAACTGAACTTATTGGTGAATATTGTGGATTATATATATATATATATATATATATATATATATATATATATATATATATATATATATATATATATATATATAGACACACACACACATATATAAAAATACTATTATTAATTATATTTGGCATACTTATCTATCACATGTCCAAATATAAACATTTATGTTTATATGTTTGTGTATCTAATCATAATGTCACACAATGTAATATACACAATTTATAAACGCAACTTTACTCGACTTTAAAAATCTATGATTTTTATATGTTCTATGTGTGTGACCTTATTCTAGGTACCTATAAATTGGGCGTAGTCTTTATTAGATACTACAAGTGATAAGCAGTATCGAGCACACATTATCACCCCTAAATTATAGATATAAAGCTTTTGGAATAATTCGTATAATAAAACATCTCATTTGTATAGCTCTTATCCTTTTATCACTAATATCTTTTTTTACGTAAAAATGTAAATAGAAAAGGAGAATAGGAATAAACAAATAGAACAGGCATACCCGAGCTCGCAATTGGCAAAGTGCCAAAGCCAAAGAGACAAACTGGTTACATCACCAATAAGTCAAACATACACCCAGACATAAACCAAGCTAATGAAAAAAACGGGCCCAAAATACTACACCCAGCAAACAAAAGTTCAATAAGGAACTGAATACAAAGGCCAAAGTCTACCCATAATAGAGTAAACCATTACTTTAATTTTACAAATCATACCCTCAACCTGTAGAGTTTCCTGGTCAAAGTGAATAGCATTCCGTTGTTTCCAGAGGTGGAAGACCGTATAGGTCAAAGCTAGTTTCCTCATCTTCTTCAAGATAGCATCCCCTCTACGGAAAGTCCTCAACCATCTGATTGCCTTGTCCAGTGAGCCCAAGCCCAACTGTCCATCCATTCGGAGCCATAACTTAACAGCTGCCCAAACCTGCTTTGAAACACAACATTCAAAAAACAGATGATCCACGTCCTCGAGTCCTTGATAACACAAGGTGCAAGCCATGGGTAAACCCAGAAATTCCAAGTTAGATTTAGTGGGCAACCTCCTCCTAAGCGCAAGCCACATCGTAAAGGAGCACTTGGGAGGGATGGTTGAATGCCAAATGAAAGACATCCAAGGCTTGGGATTAGCCTTAACCCTAAACAAGTCATAAACCTTACTTGGAACAAGTTTCCCACCCAAACATAAAGGTTGCATAGCCACTTCCATTTAGGAGTTATGTTCACCGAGCTTTTGGGTTAAAAGCTCTCGCACATAGGCTAGTCTTTTGAAGAAGACAGAGTGCCTCTTCTTGGGTTGCCAATGCCAAATATCCTCATGCTTAAGATAAACATTGTGCACCCACTTCACCCAAAGAGAGTCTTTCTTCGCTGCCAAATTCCAAAGAAGCTTACATAACAGAGCATTATTCCAATTCCCAGCATCTTTATGACCCAAACCCCCTTCTGTTTTGGGTTTTCAAATATCAGCCCAAGCTACCTTTGAAAATTTGCTCCCCCAAAGGAAGTTACGGCATAAAGATGTAATGCAGTCCATGACAAACTTTTGGACTGGGAAAGCCTGCAGCAAGAAAGATTGGACCCCTTGGATCACATTCCTAATCAATTCCAATCTCCCAGCATAAGAGAGTTTCATGGTAGCCCACTTGGAAAGGAACCCGTCCACAGATTTGAAAAGAGGAGCAAAATCTGCCATAGAGATCCTATGAGAAGCCAAGGGAAGACCCAGGTATCTAACAGGGAGATGCCCACGAGGAAAGGAGGCCAAATCCAGAATATCTTGGCTAGTGTCCCTGTACTTTCCAGCAATGAAGATATTAGATTTAGCTGGATTGAGGGTCAAACTTGTTACATTGGAGAAGTGCCTCAGTGTATCCATAAGTATCTGGACAGAGTGGAAGTCACCCCTGGAGAAGAACATAAGGTCGTCAGCAAAAGCCAAGTGTGTAATCTCCAACTCCGCACAATCTTTCTGATTACTAAACAGGCCGTCTCTAGCTTTAGTGTTGAGTGCCCTAGAGAAATACTCAATACAAAAGAGGAAGAGGGTTGGCGCCATAGGATCCCCCTGCCTCAAGCCCCGCTTGCTTTGGAAAAAGCCATGGCAGTTTCCATTGATCATAAGTGAGGAGGAAGCTGAAGAAACACATTCCATAATAAGGGCAGTAAATCTAGTTGGGAACCCAAAGCCAGTCATGACATCCCCGAGAAAACTCCAAGAAACTTTGTCGTACGCCTTAGTGATGTCCAGTTTAATCATGCAACTAGGGGTAGACCTTTTGACAGCATAATCTCTAACCAAGTGTTGGGCCAGCATCATATTGTCAACAAGTGTCCGCCCTTGTACAAATGCCCCCTGTGCTGGGTCAATTAGGTCAGGTAGTAGAGGTGCCATATGTAACACCCCAACCCGCGTGACCCGGACCAACGAGTTAGCAAACCGGGTTGCTACTAAATTTGTATTCAGACACAATAATTTCCAAAACAACTTAAAACATTTAATTCAAAACAATATGTAAACATCCATTAGAGTAAATCAAAATGGTGCGGAAGCCTTTAAGTACTTAATCAAAATACAACTTTGGATTCTTGCCCTTAAAAACATTAATTAATTTAAATGCAATAATTAAACTAGGTAACTCCTCCAGCCAGCATCCATCCATCTTCTTTGCCCTCGCTGCCTTCCAGGATAGTTCCTCATTCATCATTCATGTTATCTACGTGTAGCAAATAGGAAATAGGGCTACACACAGTGGAAACTATCTAACGTTTCGACTACGCACATAGACGAACCCACTAGCTCATAACTTCATACAATATCATGCACACAATTTCAACAATAATAATATCACATAACAATTATTAGGTAAAACAACTATGTTATAACAACATACTTTAGATCACTTACCTTTATTCTTCATCTGCACAAGTCAACATTCAGGTCATTACATTAGCTCATATCCAACACTAGCTCATAACCTATTCTAGGCTAATAAGGCCAATTACTCATTATCCACATTCTTATCTTAGGACTTAGAGTCACTACCTACGGCCATGACTCAAAGTCTATTCTATGACATCAGAACCACTACATACGGCCATGATTCTGGTCAACCCGGTACCTACGACGCCGGTTGGGTGGAACCTCCAATCCTATGGATCAGATCCCAGATTCCATGTACATACATCTTTACCCGAATGCCACTGGACACTAAGTCCACAAGGCTCTACAACCAATTGTCAATTCACAATCTCAATTCTCACAAAGTAGTCTTAGAGTTCTTCTAGGTAACCTACGTCATTAACCTACTTTAATTATTCAGATCCAAGCTAACAACAACCTCAATTTACTTTATTCGTTTAAGGAATATCACACCACATTTACAATAAATCAAGAGAGTAGAAGTAGCTAAATAAATCGTCATGCAACCCAAATAGCGGCCTAATGTCAAGTGTAAACACCTTCCATTTACCGTCATGCAACACGTAAGGTTTCAGAGTCAATTCAAGTTCCCAATCGGGTCAAACAATCAAATAACAGAACTGCAGCTGTCGGTACAGTACCCTTCACGGTACCTCGGTACCGCCAGGAGGTACCTGGGTACCGTCGGTACGGTACTGGTATACCGCCGGGTTCTAGCTAACGGCAGCAGGGCAGAACAAAAGGGGGGGTTTGGGTAGGTACCTCGTTCTCCATCAATTCATCAATTTCCAATAAATCATAATTTAGAATCATAATTCAATTGATAACAAATAAACCACATAATTAATCATACGAAACTACGAACGTGAATTTCAAATCTATATACATAATCTAGCGTTAGATGTGCAAGTTCTGACCCTGATTAATTGGTGAATTAAAAAAACAAATTGACGAATTGAATCCACAACAAGGGCGCGATGGTGGTGGGGCTGTTTTCCGGCGACAGCGAAGCAGTGACGCTGGAGCGGCGGCGGCACGGGGAGACAACGGCGGTGAACCGGCGTCACAGCGGCGGCGGTACTGCTCCTCCTCCACTGCTCGGCTCTGTTCTCGTGTTCCTGCTCTGTTACTTCTTCGGCAGCGACCAGTACTCCGTATATGTTTTTCCTTTTTGTTCTTTCTCTTCAATTGGGCGTGCGTGTGTATATATAAGGGGATGGGTTTGGGAATCCTTCTACGGGTAGAATTAGGAGTATTATATTGATTTATTATTATTTTATTACCAAATTCTTATATTTATTTATTGAGCTGTAATGTCTATTTTACTCACCACGCTTCATACGTATGTCCAATTTTAACAAACTATATACCGTTGGTCACCATTTTATGAGATCTACCCGAAAACCCAATTTTCATTTAAAACGGATAACTTCACAATTAATTCATGTTTTTGAGTAAATAAATTTAATATATATTTTTAATAAAATAACGGCTAACTACTAAGCTGGTTTTCGGGGCGTTACACCATACGCCTTGCAAGAATTTTAGTAATGACCTTATAAAGGACATTTAGACAAGCAATAGGTCTAAAGTCCTTTACCGTAGGGTTATGAGCAGATTTGGGTAATAAAACAATCATAGCATGGTTAATATGTTTCAAAAGCTTCCCAGAAGTAAAGAATTCCAAAACAGCACCATAAACATCTTGTCCAGTAGTAGCCCATTGATTCTTAAAAAATGCAGCAGTATACCCATCTGGACTAGGTGCCTTGTCATTCCCAATGTCAAACATAGCCTCCTTCACCTCCTCAAGGGTCACCGTAGCAAGCAATGCACTATGAGCAGAGGTAGGGTCAGTTGTACCAACATCGAGCACATCACTACAAATGGGCTCTACCTGGGTGGCATTCCCAAACAGGTTAGCGTAGAAATCAAGGAAACAATTAACCACTTGTTCATTGGAAGTGGTGTTTGTTCCATCCTCTTTAGTCAGAAAGGGCACGTTATTCTTCTTCCTATTCTTCTTGACCAAGGAATGAAAGTAACTAGTGCACCTGTCAGATTTCATTAAAAAGTCACACTTGGCTTTCTGTTGGTAGAACTCCATCTCTGCATCAAGAAGGAAATTGGCTCGTTTCCTTTTGGTTTCAGCCTCATCAAGAAGGTTTTGGTTGTTAGGGTCTGCCACCAACTCCTTCATCACAAATGCATAATCCTCTTTAGCCTCCAAGGCCCTTCTAGAAATGTGACCAAAGGCATGTTTGTTGAGTGCTTTCAATGGTGATTTCAAGCGTTTGAGTTTGGAGCATAAGTAGAACTGCTTGGAGCCAATGATCCCAGGTTCCCATGAACGGAGTACCAAATCATGAAAACTATCATGCTTGAGCCACATTTTGAAGAAACAAAAAGGTTTGCTCCTAATGTCAGATTGGCTACCACACTGGAGGAGCAGAGGACAGTGGTCAGAGAGAAAGTTGAAGTCGAAAAAATGACAGCTAGGAGCTAAGACAATGTCACTCCAATCCTGGTTGATGAGTACTCTATCAAGTTTAGCAAGTTTCCTCCCTTTGTGCCATCTATAGAAATTACCTCTGGAAGGTGCATCTTCAAGGCAATTTGAGCTTCTGAAGTGTAGCAAATCAGTCATATAGTAGGCACCCTGGCACATACAGTTGGTTCTCTCATTAGATGCCAAAACACAATTAAAATCCTCCAAAATAGCCCAAGGTTTCACCATGTTTCCTGCAAATAAAGAAAGCTCAGCCCAGAGTTCTCTCCTTTTAGGAACGGTGTACAGCCCATAAACAAAGGAGAAGCAGAAGTCCTTCTGTGATGTGAGGCATTTAACATCTCAATGGATGTGTTGTTCTCCCATACTCAAAACAATGCAAGCAAAAAAGGATGAGTTCCATAAAATAACCATACGGCCCCTAGTTATAACATCAAAATTGGTAGACCAATTCCACCCAGGTAGTTTGGCATTCACAAACACCTCCAACTTGGTTCCTGAAAGTTTTGTTTCCAAAATGCAAGCAAAATGGACACCAAGTTCCAAAAAGTATTTACACAAAAAGTTTTGTTTAGAGGACCTATTTAGGCCTCTAATATTCCAACAAAGGACCTTCATCTATGAGGGGGGCCTAGCCCCTTGCCTCCCTTCTTATGATCATGTTGTTTCCCAGCAAGAACACCATCCTGCCCATTCTTCTTCTTGTTCTCCAGACCAGCCCCAACATCCCCAGGTTTGACAGGGGCCTTACCCAAAACACCAATCCCAGCCTTAAAAGGCACTTCCACTTCCCTAGCAGTATGTGAAGAGGAGGGAATGTTACCCCCTTTTGGCTCATTGTAACCAATACCTTTTCTCTTGCCAGTAGGAGCCCATTCATTAGGAGCACCCTTAGTTTGCACTGGAGGGGTTATGTTTTCCACCAACTTATTCAGTTCCTTCTTCTTCTTTTGTTCCAAAACTCTGCAATTGAATGGTCTATGGTTCCATGTAAGGCAGTGGAAGCAGTATTTAGGCTCCTCCTCGAACTCCACTGTCTAAACATAGTTTTTCCCCATACATTCCACCTCAAAGCTAGTTACTGGTTCTTTGGAGAAGTCCACTTCAACAAGCACCCTGCAAAACCACTTTTACCAAGTTGTTTTGTCACCAGGTCTGTACGAAGAGGTTTTCCCACTTTAGAGGCCAGCATCCCAATACCCTCTTCTGACCACAACTGCATGGGGACTGTGGAGTTGGATCCAGACAGGTAAAGTGGTGAATTTAGCAAAGTCAAACATGAACCCATGAGAGGGTATCTTGAGCCTAAACCCTTTTCCATAAGCTTTGCTCCTCTCCATTCCCAACACTTCATACCTGTCCTTATCATTTTCAAATTTAAGCACCACCCAACCCTTAAAGTGGGGTATGATTCGACAGGGATATTCTAGCTTTTAACAATGGCACCAACAGCTTTAAGGCCAGGAAAACGCCCAGTAAAACTGCCCACAAGACAAAAGCCCCAAATGTCTTCAACAGGCTTGATAATTGAATATGGAATGCGAAGGATTCCCTCACCAACATCATAGTGCTTCAACATCATACCTTGATCAGGATCTCTGTTTCCCTTGAAGAGATCAGCAAAAGTGACTGACTTTGCAGTTGAGGTCACTAGTTGGGGCAAAATGTCGAGCACATGGGGGGTTGCTGGTGTAGGCTTCTCCACCGGGCCAGCAGTATCCGCAACCTCCTCCACATGGTGAGGTGATGTCTCAGAAGTGAAGGAAGAAGCCTGGTCCATCTCCTTCTCCTTCAACTCAACAGCGACAATGCTCGGTAGCTCCAGGCTTCCCACTCTGAGCTTTGCTAGAACCCATAAAGAAGAAGAATTCAAGACCTACGAGAGAAGTTCATTGGGAAAGAAGATGAACGGTTGCAACCAAGGTCAACGGCCACCCCTCACACATGGGAGCAGCAAAAGACAATTCCTACTATGGATGAATTCGCCTAGAGGTGGGGAACACAAATCCAAGCTCAGAAGGAAGAGAACCCAAGTGAAAAAGCTCCTACAGCGATGGCTATGGTGACGGCTACTGTAGCATTACGTCGCCAGAGAGAAGTCTCGGCCTCCTACTAATATTTGGGTCTTGTCACCTTGTTAGTTAAATGGATGGTTTATAAATTCTTTGATTCACCTGTGGGATTCAAATAACATATTTATTTGGGCATGAACATGCACTTCCTAAGTCACATCAATTAGTGAGCCCTAAGATATTACACTACATTTCAAGAAGAGATAAATTCTATCTACGTCATTCACATCTTCACTTAAGTTTCATTGCATACCCAAAACATAATTGTACATCCACAAATATTTTAGATGTCATAAATCATGCTTCAAAATATGCAACTCAACTTACCAAAGATCGTAATGACTTCACGTCGAAGGATAGTTATACTAATGGTCGCATGAGAATAATATTAACACGTTAACTTAAATCCATATATTATTCTCATAGCAGGTCAATCGAGCAACATATCCAATATGTTTTCCGATGTATAGATTCAGATAACGCTTTATCTATAGCCTATGAGACGGAGTTATATCATCTCATACGTATTAGTCTTGATATATTATGATGTCAATATTATCATAACATTCGACTAAGGATATTTTAGACGTAGCCTCTATCTTTGTAATAGCCTCATAATCAGAACGTCGCAGTTCTCATCTATGTTACTAGAGCGCCTACTCTATGGACTAAAGCTATGTTTAAATCACACGAGACGAGTTAAACAATCTTTAGGGCCTATTATTCTTGATATAATATAGATATGGAATCGTAAGTTTGTTGGACATGAGTTCAAACCCCTTTATTATTTTTTTGGAATATTTTTGTTTTGGTGAATGACAAACAGGGTGATTAAATTCAAAGATGATCGAAAATTTATTTTTCGTATCGAGAAAAGCAAAGAGGCGTATCAAGATATTTACGGCGATAAAAATCAAACGCTTACCCTACACAGTTTTTTGAAGTGAAGTGAAGATTCCGAAGACTTTTTATTTTTTATTGAGTCTAGGAATTTTTGTAAGGATGACAATAATTTTTGCCTAAAAAAATTATTTTGAGGGATAAAAATTATTATTTTCTGAGTCAGTTGAAAAATTATTTTTTCTCTGTATAAAAATATTTTACTAAGTCAGTTGAAAAATTATTTTTTCTCTGTCTAAAAATATTTTACTGAGTCAGTTTCAAAATAGTGTGTCAAATTTCTTAAAAATACTTTTTAAGGATACACAAATATTTTTGGTAAGAAAAATATTCTTTAAATATTTTTTTTCGTGTACATCATTTGACACACAAAATAATTTTTGGACTCACTTTTTCTCCCCTATTCAAAATTCATTGAATAAGAGATATTATTTGAGGAGCGTTCTTGTTATTCTCGTTTTCTCAAACAACGATTATGAAGCCAATGTCTTTCAATCGCAACTGGCCTTGGGCCCTTTGTGTTTTTGCGCATTATTCTATTTTAATCGATTAATAGTCTTTACTTAATCGATTAGATCCAGCTCCTCAGCGCTGGATTTCTCAGGCCATAAAAATAATCGATTATTATTCTTCAGTTAATCGATTTGTTTGGGCAGAGCCACCTAATCGATTTTTTGTTTTACTTTGATCGATTAGTTCCATTCCTCATTTCATGCTTTTTCGCCTCTGTGTACCTTAATCGATTAAAAGTTTTACTTTAATCGATTATTTTTATCAGGTGCATATTCTCAGCTTGCTCCAACGGATTTATTTTACTCAGCCTATTTAATCCTTCATTCTCCTTCATTTCAATACACAACTCTTGCACTCCAATATATTCATTGAGCTATATTCATCCCTTGCTTCATTTTCCTCATCAAAATATAATTCTTGAGAGTAAAAAATATTTTCATTGAGTGCTAAAGATATTGTCATCCATAGAGCTTTAATCCTTCAACACTACTTGCTCAATTGTGTGAGCTTTCATTCTTGTGTAGTAAACTCAATCTTGTTTGACTGTGTTAGAATAAGTGACCAACGCTAGAGGGGGGGGGTGAATAGCGTTTGATCGTAGAAATCGCAGGAATTAAAAAATTAAAAGAGAAGTGAAGAAAAGAGTAAGAGGCACACCGAATTTTACCCTGGTTCACCACAACTTGTGGCTAATCCAGCCTCTCGAGAGACTCTCTCGAGCTACACTACTATCTCGTTAAGCTTGCGGGTGCTTAACAAACCGTTACAACTTGAGAGTTCGAGTTACACGAACCTCAACGAATCCTTCAAAGGAAACAGCCCTTCCTTTGAAACTACCGAGAGAAATACTTTCTCTCAAAGTGTCTAAGAACACGAATACACTCAAGAACGAGACTCTCTTATAGAGTAGATTATGAGTAAACTAAGAACGCTCAAGAACAACTCAACCTTCACACAAAATGGGTCTAGTGTTAGCCACTTGTCAGGTGACAACAAATTAACCTATTCCCCAATTACTACACANGTAAGAGGCACACCGAATTTTACCCTGGTTCACCACAACTTGTGGCTAATCCAGCCTCTCGAGAGACTCTCTCGAGCTACACTACTATCTCGTTAAGCTTGCGGGTGCTTAACAAACCGTTACAACTTGAGAGTTCGAGTTACACGAACCTCAACGAATCCTTCAAAGGAAACAGCCCTTCCTTTGAAACTACCGAGAGAAATACTTTCTCTCAAAGTGTCTAAGAACACGAATACACTCAAGAACGAGACTCTCTTATAGAGTAGATTATGAGTAAACTAAGAACGCTCAAGAACAACTCAACCTTCACACAAAATGGGTCTAGTGTTAGCCACTTGTCAGGTGACAACAAATTAACCTATTCCCCAATTACTACACACTTATGAAAATGGTAGTAAGGTGGTAAGTAGGGTCATTCTTCCACAGGGAGATTTGTCTTCTATTATTTCTTCTCTTGATTTATTGCTCAGTTTCCACAACACACACACACAAGGGGGGGGTTGTTCATAAGATGCTAATGCTACGTAATGAAAATAGATTTTAACAGAAACAATGAGAACAGATCAAAGAAGGAGAGAGAAGTTCAGGTAAAGGTTTGTGGTTATCAAATTGAGTGAACAAGCTTGTCTGGTGGTATTAGGAACAGTTACTCAGATCAGAGTAAAAAAAATCAGATTCTCAGTTAAACAAGTTGTTGAACAAAAGTGAGATTTAGCTCTCTTAGCAAGGAGCTAAATCTCCACCTCAAAAATCAGTCCTTAAGAGAGATGAGCACTGCCTAAGGACCTGTACCTACGTTAATAACCTCAGGATGAGCCTGATGCAAATTAACATAAGCATGAATTCAGTTATAAAAAACCTTTTCAACATACAATATACTTGGACAGCAAAATACACTTTATGTCAGTTGTTGAACCCCAAATAAGAATTTCAGACTGAATAATTGAGGCATGAGACCTACAATCAACAGTTTTGAGAAGCTGAGCACAAAACAGGATTAAACAACCTTCAACAACTGTCTAAACCTCAAATCATTGCAACGAACACAACTTCCTGAGAACTGATCCTAAATTTCCACCAGACAAGAGAGTGATTACTCTCGGGACATGATCATGATAATTGATTCACAAATTAAACACATGATCACAGGAAAATATTGTCCAAACAAGAGATTAGGACTCAGATTTGAATAACACGAAATCACACGTTCAATTACGAATCAACAATTCAAACAATCCTCAAACATTAAAACTGTATCTCGAATTTGAAAACTAAAACAATGAATGACCTATGGACAGCGTTCGAGGATCAAATCCTACGAACGTGATGACTCCTCTGTTCGGTTAAAGCGCTTGATCGGGAGGAGCGCTTGGTGATTGTGCGACGAATGATGATGATCGCGAGGTCTAGCTCGCCGGATTATGCCTGGTCGCCGAGTTTCTCTCTCGGTTAACTCTTCGATCTCCTCTTCCCTTTCTCTCGTTTCTTTCTCCTCTCACGTAACTGATCTCTCCCTCTTACGTAACTGATCTCTCCCTCTCACGTCCTAAGTTTTGTACTCAACTAATGGGCCGGGTTGGTTATTTTCACTTCGGGTCGTCTAGCCCGATTCTAACAATTAACCCATTGGACCTAAAATAACACAAGAATTGCACTCTAACCTCTAGGATGGTCAACGTTCTTTCTTGATCTTAAATTAAACCAAATTCTCACTAATGGTGACCCAAAGATTAGTAAATGTAAGGGAATTTAAAGACTATAAAAGAGCCTAACAAAATCCCCCACACTTACTTCTTGGCCGTCCTCGGCCAAGTTGCAGAATGCAAGTATAGAAAGCTCATCATCTCATTTCTGTACGTACATTCCTCCTTTCTCTTACTCTAAAGTCCGACCAAATGAACTAATGTAGAATTTTCAACCTTCCCAACTCAAATTGCACCCAAAATCGCATGATGTAAAAAAAACGGTAAAAATGTAAATAGAAGAAGAATAGGAATATACAATTAGAACGGGCATACCCGAGCTTGGAATTGGTAACACACCAAATCCACAAAGTAACGTTAGCCAACAAGACTAAACGTCAACAAATACAGCCAAACAGCAGCCACTAACGCACACACCAACAAACATCATCAAAAAGAAAGGGAGTACAGCGGCCAAAGCCTTCCCACAACAGAATACACCATCAATTTAATTTTACAGATAATGGCCTCAACATCAAGAGGTTTACGATCAAAAAGGACAGCATTCCTATGTTTCCAGATTTGAAACACCGTGCAAGCTAACGCAATCCTCCTGGTTTTCTTCAAA